TCTCCCCTTTCATACTTTTCTGCCTGCCTTTGGGTCTCTGCCAAAACCCAAGTTGTCATGGCTGACCCCCAGCCCTTATCAAGGTCTGAACAACTAGGTTTTGCCTGTTCCCAGTTGGTCTTAATTTATCTCCCCAAAGGGGACACTAATAATAATCATCCCAAATAAACAGGCAAAAATCAGGACTGTCTGGAGCCAATTCAAGACATGTATCCCTTTTGTCAGAAAGCACAGTTAGGGGCTGGTGCTGTGGCGTAGCAGGTAAAGCTGTGGCCTGGAGTGTCAGCATCCCATATGGGTGCCGATTCAAGTCCTGGCTGCTCCATTTCCCATCGATCTCTCTTGTGGCTGGGAAAATAGTGGAAGGTGGCCTGAGTACGTGGACTCCTGCACCCACATGGGAGGCCGGGAGGAAGCCCCTGGTTCTTGGCTTCAGATGTGTCCAACTCTGGCCATTGTGGACTTCTGGGGAGAGGACCAGCAGATGGAAGATCTCTCTATGTCTCTCTCTCTCTCTCTCTGTGACTCTGCCTTTCAAATAAATAAATCTTTAAGAAAGAACAACTGGTTATTCAAATTGCTTTCTGCTAGTGAGATACAAAATCTGGGAGAGCCAAAGTATGAGGGACAGAGGTGACATGTGCCACTATCAACTGGTGGGGTTGTACCATTAAAGAATGGAAGATGGGACCAGCACTGTGGCATAGCAGTAAAGCTGCCACCTGCAGTTCCAGCATCTCATATGGGTGCCAGTTCAAGTCCCAGCTGCTCCACTTCTGATACAGCTCCCTGCTAATGCACCTGGGTAAGCAGCGGAAGATGGTCCAAGTCCTTGGACCCCTGCACCCACATGGAAGACTCGGAGAAAGCTCCTGGCTCCTGGCTTCAGATCAACTCAGCTCTGGCTGTTGTGTGGTCATTTGGGGAATGAACGAGAGCATGGAAGATCTCTCTCTGCCTCTCTCTGTAACTCTGCCTTTCAAACAAACAAATCTTTAAAAAAAGAAAGGAAGAGGATATTTCAATTACTACAGAAGTGTCTGAGATGTATATACACTCAGGTTCTGTAGAGTATTTAATAATCTTCCTGGCTTAGGTATGTGGTATTGTCCATCAAGAATCCTGTATCTGTCAAAACCATCCTTCTGAAGCTAGGAAGGGAGAAAGTACAATATTTTCAGATAAACGAAGGCTAGAGGAGTTCCTCACCACTAGCCCTTTCCTGCCAGAAACACTCATGAGAGTACTATAGGGAGAAATGGAAGGATACCACACAGTAACTCAAGGTCATGTGAAGAAATAGAAATCTAAATACAGTAAATACAGGGAGAATTATAGAACCAGTGTCACTGTAACAATGATTTGTGACTCCACATTTTCTCCCACATAAGTGAAGAGAATCATGCATTTGAAAGCATTATTATTTCATGTTTTTGAGCACATGATGTACGAAGATTTTGTGACATCAATAATCAAAAGGAATGTGGGAAGAAATACAAAGGAATGGTTTTTCTTTTATGGAAGTAAAAACTGTTTCATTAAAAAATGTTTAGGTTTATTTATTTGAAAGGCAGAACTACAGAGCGACAGAAAGACAGAGATCTTCCCTCTGCTGGTTCATTTGCTGTTGGATTCTCCAAATGCTCACAACAGCCAGAAGGCAAGATCAGGGAACTCACTTAGTCCAGGTCTCACACTTATGGGTGGCAGTGTTACCGGACAATGAAGGTGATCTCAGCTCTTGTCTCAGGTCCAGAAGATCCCCCCGCCCCGTAACTCTGACTTTTGAAATAAATAAATAAATCCTAAAGAAACAAAACAAACAAAAAACAACTAAGCATTGGTAAAGACAGCCTGTGGGAAGAGACTTTTTCCACTCTTTTTTCTACTCTTCAAGGAACTCTGCCTCTTGTCTCATTCTGACAGGAACCTGACCTAACTGCCTCTTAGTCCATTAAACTCTTTTTAAAAAAATTTTTTTTTATTTTTTTGACAGGCAGAGTGGACAGTGAGAGAGAGAGACAGAGAGAAAGGTCTTCCTTTGCCGTTGATTCACCCTCCAATGGCCGCCGTGGCCGGCGCATAGCGCTGATCCGAAGGCAGGAGCCAGGTACTTCTGGTCTCCCATGGGGTGCAGGGCCCAAGCACTTGGACCATCCTCCACTGCACTCCCTGGCCACAGCAGAGAGCTAGAGAGCTGGCCTGAAGAGGAGCAACTGGGACAGGACCGGCGCACTGACCGGGACTAGAACCCGGTGTGCCGGCGCCGCAGGTGGAGGATTAGCCTATTGAGCCGCGGTACTGGCCTAGTCCATCTAACTCTTCACAGCAAAGCCCAATTACTTGATTCACACTGCTGCCTCCCAAAGTCTGCTTTAGTAGGAAGCTGAAGTCAGAAGCTGAAGGTGGGATCCGAACCCAAGGACTCCAATGTGGAATGTCTTATCTTGCTAGGCCAAATGCCCACCTAGGAAATTGTTTTTTAATGACTATTGTTTAAGTTTTACAAGATGAAAAGACTTCTGGAGATGTTCATTGGTGATAAATGTGCACGTTTTAATGTTTTTAGTAACATGAAACCGTATACTTAAAAATGTTTTGGGGTGGTACTGTGGCCCAGCAGGTTAAGCTGCTCCTTGAGACACCCACACCCCATATCAGAATGCTGGTTCCAGCTAGCTACTGCAGAAGCTAGCTGCTCTGTGCTTCTAATCCAGTTTCCTGCTAATGTGTCTAAAAGGCAACACATGATGGCTCAGGTGCTTAGGTCCTTGCCACCCATGTAGGAAACCAGGATGGAGCCGGGGAGTGAACCAGAGGATGGAAGATCTCTCTGTCCTTCCCTTACATTCTTTCAAATAAATAAATAAATCTTTAAAAAAAAAATTTAAGGGCCAGGCATTTGGCACAACAGTTAAGATGGGGCTTGGGTCACCCGTATTCCATTTTGGAGTGTCAGAGTTGGAGGCGCTCTGATAAGCTGTACATAACATTGTCATAAGCCAAGACTGGTGTTGTGGAATGCTGGCATCTCATATAGGAGCCAGTTCAAGTCTCGTACTCTGCTTCTGATCCAGCTCCCTGCTAATGGCCTGATAAAGCAGTAGAAGATGGCCCAAGTACTTGGGCCGCTGCACCCACAAGGGAGACCTGGAAGAAGCTCCTGGCTCCTGGTCTCTGGCTTCGGCCTGGTCCAGCCATGGTTGATGCAGTCATATGGAAAGTAAAACAGTGGGTAGAAGATCTCTCTGTCTCTCTCCCTCTCTGTAACTCTGCCTCTCAATTTTTTTTTTTTTTTAAAAAGAGCAAACATCAAATTTAGTAAAAAGAAAATATTACCATAAGCCAATGTGGTATGAAATAATACTGAAAACAAAATTAAAACAAAAAGTAAACAGAAACCCACATTGCCTTTTTTTTAATAGTAGTAGCAGTAGTATTTTAAGATTTATTTGAGAGGCAGAGTTACAGAGAGAGGGAGAGACAGAGAGAGAGGTCTTCCATGCACTGGCTCACTGCCCAAATGGCCAGATCTGGGTTGATCTGAAACCAGGAACCAGGAGCTTCCTCCAGGTCTCCCATGTGGGCACAGCAGCCCAAACACTTGGGCCATATTCCACTGTTTTCCCAGGCAATAGCCTCAGAGAGCTGGATGGGAAGAATAGCCAGGACTCCAACCAGTGCCCATATGGGATGCCAGCACCACATAAGGAGACTTAACCAACTATGCCACAGCACTAGCCAACGTTTCTTTTTTAAGCGAATAATTATCCCTTTGTGTCTCTGTAACTGCATGATGAACTCCTTGTGGTAGACACATACCTGTATCTAGGCCAAGGAGTCTTGCACTGGATGTGCTCCAACAAACTACCTACACACAGTAGCCTAACAGCAAATGAGGTTTTTTTTTTTTTTTTTTAAGATTTGTTTTATTTGAAAGGCAGAGTTAGGGGAGGGGAGAGAGATCTTCCATCAAATAGTTTATGCCCCACATGGCCAAAAAAGCTGAAGGCCCTTCCAGGTCCCCCAGGTGGGTGCAGGGGCCCATGCACTTGGGTCATCTTCCTCTGTTTTCCCAAGCACATTAGTAGGGTGCATCCATATGGTATGCCGGTACTACAGGCGGGGACTTAATCTGCTATGCCACAGCACCGGCCCCACAAATGAGTTTTTTTTTTTTTTTTTTTTTTTTTTTTAAGATTTTATTTATTTGAGTTACAGAGAGAAGTCTTCTGTCTTCTAGTTCACTCCCCAAATGGCCACAGCTGGGCCGATCTATAGCCAGGAGCCAGGCAGGAGCTTCTGGGTCTCCCACGCGGTTGCAGGGGCCCAAGGACTTGGGCCATCTTCTACTGCTTTCCCAGGCCATAGCAGAGAGCTGGATCAGAAGAGGAGCAACCGGGACTAGAACAGCGCCCATATGTGATGCTGGCGCCACAGGCTGAGGATTAACCTACTGCGTCACAGCACCGCCCCCAACAAATGCGTGCTAAAAGTAAGGAGCGACCAGTTAGACTGGTAAACCAGTCCTTTTTTTTTCTTCTTACCCAGCCTCTTCAGCGGCCGCAGTAAAGGAGGTGGTTTGGAGAAAAAGCCAACAGTGAAGGTGGTGGAGTGTCTTTATCATTTAAATCATTCCTAAGGTCAGTCTTTAGTTCAGCTAACATTCTCTGCCCAGACCAACTTTGCATCCGAATAGGTTGGCACGGCTGGAATGTAACAAAGCCGAGTGTACCTAAAGATACCGGCGAGAGGCTCAGCGTGTCCTCAGCCGCCTCCGTCCTGTGTCCGCTCAAGCTGGGAACCAATAAAGTTGGGCTTGTTCAAAAGGGTCCTCGCCATCCAGGGGCTGTTGGATAAGCCTGCAAAACACGTCATCTAGAAACTCTTCCACGTTTTCAATTTTTCTCTTTCTCCCAGGTAGTTGTTTTTTTCTTCACACTCAGTATTTGTTTCCGTGAGGAGAATGGCGCGGGCTTTGCTGGGCGGGGCGCATCCGGGATGCGGCTGCGCAGGCGATCGCGGCGGGCAGCCTGAAGAAGGCCCCCTGTGCTCGTGGAGCGGAAGGTCTGGGCTCTGGCCTCAGAGACAGCCGCGATGAAACCTAGACCTGCGGGTTTCGTGGATAATAAGCTCAAGCACCGCGTTATCCAGGTGTGTATTCTGCCTAGCTCGGTCTTGCAGTGGTCTCCGGCCGCTGCCCTAGGGCGTCAGCTGGCCGGCGTGCCTACCCCACTTAGTCTCCTGCCCAACCAGGGTTTCGGCGTGGGTCTGTTGACAACTCCACTGCCTTCTCCGGTGGTACGGGGCCTTCTCGCTCTACCCTGGGGCGGAGTCGCCCTGCTCGGGTCTCCAGAATGATGTCTTAAGGGGAGTGGTGTGACTTAGGCTTTGAGCCACAGCCTTCTTACGTTCTTAAAATAGGACGGAAACATTCTTCAGACGCCCGCGTGTGCGAGCCCCTTTGTGGGGCTCATAAAGAAAAAGTTAATTTCCGCTCTCGAGGAGCCTGAGTCAGATTAGGAAGCACAGAAGGAAGTAACGGGTTGTGATTGTGTTAGATTCTTTTTATACGTTTTACGGTTATTTTTATCTATTTGGCACAGAGAGAGAGAGACAGACAGATGCATCTTCCATTCTGTACTTCACTCCCCAAGTCCTCAACGGCTAGAGTCTGGATAGGCCGAAGCGAGGAGCCAGGAACTCCATCCTAAGTCTCTTTGTGGGTAGCAGGTGCCAGGCCCAGGAACCATCTGATGCCTCCCTGGATGCGTTAGCAGGAAGCCGGGGGAAGCAGAACTGGCACCCTGGCGTGGGCCGCTGGTGTTACAGGTGGGATCCTAGCCCACTGTGCCACAATGGTGCTCCTGTGTTAGGTTCTTTACCAGTGGTTTCTCACTTTCAAATCCATCAACAGAAAGCAGTGTTTAATAACTCTTTTAAAAAAAAGCAGCAGTTGTGTGGCAACTACCTTGGACTGGTAAAGTCAGGAAGCCGCCTGAGTTAAAACATGTGAAGAGATTTTTCTTCACATATTGTCCTTGCTTTTCTTTTAACACACCTGCTACTTTTCCACTCTTTGGGTCAGTCCCTTTCCCCTAACCTGTAGTGGTTAGAAGCGCCCTGAGTCTCAGTCCTCTGAACTTGCCTTATGTTCTCTCTCCTCCTACTCCTCCCTTATCTTCCATGCTTCTAGATGACCTCATCTGGTCTGAACCTTTAAGTACTACATATATCTCCACGACTCCTAAATTTATGTCTCCAGACCTGATTTTACTTTGAATTCAGGGTTGATGGATGCAGCTTCCAAGTTCACACTGTCTCTTGGGTGTTTCAGCCGTCTCCAGCTTCACCTGGCCAAACCAAACTTTTGATATGTTTCCCCTCCAAACTCGTCCTTAGTGTCCTGTACGTCATCACTATTCATCCTGTTATTAAGAATCATGCTGTTTGCTTTTTCTCACATCCTGTATGCAGTCCATGAACAATCTGGTCGACTTTACCTTCAAAATACAATTCTTGGGGCCAGCATTGTGGTGTAGCAGGTAAAGCTGCCTGGGACAGTCACTCCATGTGGGCCCTGGGTTGTGTCCTGGCTGCTTCACTTCTCATCCGGCTCCCTGCTAATAGCCTGGGAAAAGCAGCGGAGGATGGCCCAAGTGCTTGGGCCCTTACCGCCCACGTGGAAGACCTAGATGAAGCTCCTGGGACCTGGCTTTGACCTGGTGCAGTGCTGGCCGTTGGGGCCATCTGGGGAGTGAACCAACAAATGGTTCTCTCTTCCCTTCTCTTAACTCTAACTCTCAAATAATTAAGTCTGACTGTTTTATTCTGCCTCTCTGGCTTTAAATAAAGTCATTACATATTCTGCTCTTTCGCCCTTTTTTTTTTTTTTAAGATTTATTTTATTTGAAAGACAGAGTTACAGAGAGAAGTAGAGCCAGAGGGAGAGAGGTCTTCTGTCTGCTGGTTCACTCCCCAAATGACTGCGTTGGCCAGAGCTGAGCTGATCCGAAGCCAGGACCCAGGAGCTGCTTCTGGGTCTCCCACATGGGTGCAGGGGCCCAAGAACTTGGGCCATCTTCTACTGCTTTCCTAAGCCATAGCAGAGAGCTGGATTGGAAGTAGAGCAGCTGGGACTTGAACCAGCATCCATATGGTATGCTGGCACTTTAGGCTGGAGCTTTAACCCACTGCGCCACAGTGCTGCCCCCCCCCCCCTTTAAAGATTTATTGATATGTAAAACAGAGTTACAAAGAGAGAAAGAGATCTTCCATCTGCTGGCTCACCCCCACCCCACCCCCCATAGCTGCAACAGCTGAGGTTGGGCCAGGCCAAAGCCAAAAGCCTGGCATTTCACCTGGGTCTTCCAAGCCAGTGGCAGGGCCCAAGAACTTGGGCCATCCTCCATTGTGTTCCCAGGCACATTAGCAGGGAAATGGATCGGAAGCTGAGCAGCTGGGACTCCAACCAGCCCTCTTAAGGGATTCTGACATCCCAGATGGCCACTTAACCCACACCACAATGCCTATCCTCATAGCTTTCACTTTGGGTCATTATAAAAAGTAATAGATTTTTGTGGTTTAAGATAAAAGGGACAGAGAAGATCGTAATATAAAGAGAATGAATTCCTCTTATCTATACTTCTCCAATAGTAATCAAGGAGAGTTTCTGTTACAACTTTTAAAAAATTTTTAAAACTTTTTAATTTTTTAAACTTTTAAAAAAGTGTGTATAAACTTTTTTTAAAAATCACAGACTTCATTTGTTCTTCTGCTTGCTTTTTTCACTTAGCAGTTCTTTTTACACATCTTGCCACAATTCATAACCTTCAACTCTTTTCAAGTAATATATTAGGTATCTTGCTGCATAGCAGTCATGCTAAAATTTAGCAGATTAAAGTAGATTTCTTCCTGTTGTCATCAAGGGGCATTTTGACTTGTAGCAAGTATAAGATATACATTTGGTATATAAAATACAATTGGCATATTTTAAAATTAACTGTAGAGGGCTAGCATTGTGGCACAGTGGATCAAACTGCTTGTAATGCTGGCATCCCATATCCGAGCACTGATTCAACTTCTGGATGCTCTGCTTCCCTTCAGCTGCCTGCTGGTGTGCCTCGGGAAGCAGCAAAAGGTGACTCACGTGTTTGGGCCCCTGCTACCCATGTGGGGAGATGAGGATAAAGTTGCTAGTTCCTAGCTCCTGGCTTCATCCCGGCCCAACCCTGCCTGTTGCAGACATTGAGTAGTGAACCAGTGGATGAAACATCTCTGTCTGTCATTGTCTTTCAAATAAATAAGTATTTTTTAAGCTTTATTTGAAAGGCAGAGATACTGAGAGAAGGAGACAGAGAGGGAGAATCTTCCATCATTTGTTTACTCCCCAAATGGCTACAGTGGCCAGGGTGGGCCATGCTGAAGCCAAGAGCCAGGAGGTTCCTCCAGGTCTCCCACAAGCAAGTAAGGCCTCGTTTACACTTCCTTACCTGTAAAATGAGGATAGTGGTATCTCCCTGAGTGTTGAAAGAAATAATGTGTGAGGCCGGCGCCGCGGCTCACTAGGCTAATCCTCCGCCTAGCGGCGCCGGCACACCGGGTTCTAGTCCCGGTCGGGGCGCCGGATTCTGTCCCGGTTGCCCCTCTTCCAGGCCAGCCCTCTGCTGTGGCCAGGGAGTGCAGTGGAGGATGGCCCAGGTGCTTGGGCCCTGCACCCCATGGGAGACCAGGAAAAGCACCTGGCTCCTGGCTCCTGCCATCGGATCAGCGCGGTGCGCCGGCCGCAGCGCGCCGGCCGCGGCGGCCATTGGAGAGTGAACCAACGGCAAAGGAAGACCTTTCTCTCTGTCTCTCTCTCTCACTGTCCACTCTGCCTGTCAATAAAAAAAAAAAAAAAAGAAATAATGTGTGAAAGGCTCCTAAGCAAGTGCCTAGCACAGAGGTTCCCAAACTTTTTGGTTCACAGGACCCTTAGTTTCTCAGTTTTTTCATGGTATTCCTAGTCCAAATGCAGTATCTGATAGGTCTGCTTGCTAAGTAGTTAGGTTCAGGCAGCTTCATAAGTAATTGTTCCAGATAACTTAGTAGCTGTTTGAAAAGTAAATACAGAAATCAATGGAAAATTTATAAATTTGTATTTCATCCATTAATAATTATACTTAGTTACTAATGGGATTTGTACACCTGTGGAGCACTTTGTAAATCCTCAGACTGTAGAATCAAATTGTAGCTTGCCACTCTGATTTCTTATTCTACATTGATTTCTGCATGATACTTGCTTTTTATCACAACAGTCTCTGAAAACCTACTTTTGCAAAGATATGACATAATCAAAAAAGATTTAATGGTGAAACTGAATTACATCAAGCTAGTAGTTCCTGCAGTGTCTGGCAGATGTCAAATGTCACTCTGTTCTCTCCATTATAGTGTACCATGGTACACTGGTTATTTTACTGCTGTGTTCTGGGAATGTTTGGGAAGCTAGGATATAGGAAGCCCTCACTATCCTACAGCTATTCTTGTTAATGTTGTTGCTATTATTATTATTATTGCATTTTCATGGTGATTAATAGTGTTAATGAAATTCTGATTTCAGATGTGACAGTTATTTGGTGATTTTTATTATGTTTCTGGTATGCTTTATTAATGAAAAGTTTACATTAAAGCAGAGTATGCTTGAATGTTTCTCTTTTTTGTTGTTGTTGTTTAAAGCCACTAAGCTTGAGATACTTAGTATTTTATATTTGTCACATATTCTGTTTTAGTACCTCACCAGTAACAGATGTGGCAAATATGTGGACACTGAAGTCTTAGCATCTGATCTGCAAAGAATGTACAGGTAAAGAACTGTGGTTTCCAAATTACTGCTTTTTATCTGCCCTTGATTTTTCTTTTAAAAGATTTTTCTTATTTGCAAGGCAGAGTTATGTGTGGGGCAGGGAAATAGCAGAGAGAGAGAGAGAGAGAAATCTTCCAACCTCAGGTTCACTCCCAGAATAGCCACATCTGCCAGTGCTAGTGCAGGCCAAAGCCAGAAGCCCAGAATTTCATCTTGGTCTCCCACATGGGTGGCATGAGCCCAAATGCTTGGGCCATTTTCCACTGCTTTCCCAGGTACTTTAGCAGGAGCTGAATCAGAAGCAGAACAATTGGGACTTAAACTGGTGATCATATGGGATGCTGGCCTTGTAGGTGGGGGTGTAATTCACTGTATTACAACACTGGCCCTTCCTGTGCCTTTTTAAAAGTTTCCATCCTGCTTAAAATTCCAGTTGATATCAACAGCTGCTGACTTCAGTTGACTTGGAACTCAGTTTAGGTATACTGTATTTACCAAGCACCTGTTATATGTAACAAGCTCTCTGTTTTACTATGAGGAATGGCTACTTCTTATCTTAAGTACTTCACAGTCTGGTCAGGAGATAGATGAGCTATTATTTACTTTCCTGCTTCCTTAAATTTTTAAATATCAGGTTAAGCCGCAGCCTAGGATATAGGTACTCGATATGAGCACCAGTTCAAATTCGAGCTGCTCCACTTCTGATCCAGCTCCTTGCTAATGTGCCTTGGAAGGCAGCAGAAGATGGCCGCGTACTTAGGTCCTTGCACCCACATGGGAGACCCTGATGGAGGCTCCTGGCTTTAGCCTAGCCCAAGTTGTTGTGGCCATTTAGGGAGTGAACCAGCAAATGGAAGATATATTCATTCATTCATTCTCTCTCTCTCTCTCTCTCTCTCTCCTCCCTTCTCTTCTCTGTAACTATGTCTTTTAAATAAATAAATAAAAATCTTAAAAAAGAGAGAAAGATCTACTATTGATTGATATGAATGGCTTGAATCACAAAACATTTTCACTGGGGTGACTAGGCAACAGCGGGATTGGTTTCTTAGGACGTTTCTTTCCTTGGCCTGAAGGTGGCTGTCTTCTCTTTGTCTTTAAACCTTTTTTCCTCTATGTACATGTCAGTGTCCTAATCTCTGTAAGCACACCTATCTATGAGTTATATTGGCCTAGAGCCCTCCCTATGACCTCATTTTACCTTAATGACCTCTAAAGCTCCTGTTTCCCAATAGAGTTATTTTCTAAGGGTCTGGGGATGAAGACTTAAGCACCTGAGTTTGAAGGAGATACAGTGCAGTCCATCTCATGCTGTCCTCTGGCTCACCCAAAATTCATGTCCTTCTTACATGCAGATACTTTCCTTCCATTCCTGTAACCCCAAAAGTCTGAACTCATTTCAGCAGCAACTCTGAGTTCCAAATTTCATTGAGCCCTCATCCAGGTCAGGTATGGGTGAGACTCAAGGTATGATTCAACCTGTGGCATAACTCCCCTCCAGCTGTGAACCTGTGAAACCAGATAACAAGTTGTCTGCTTCCGAAGGACAGGCATATATAGATGTGCTATTCCAAATGGGAGGATTTGGAAAGACAAAAGTCTGGGCACAAGCAAGTTCATAGCCTAGCAGAGAAAATTCCATTTGACTTTAAGGCTGGAAAATAATCTTCTTTGGCTTGATGCTCTGTGCTCAGGGCTCTGTAGGGTAGAAGCCCTGTCCTCTGCAACCAAGGAGGAGACAGTGCAGCTCCTGGACCTGTGCCCTCTGGGCCTGTGGTGGCAATTGCAACCATGCTGACTTCAGAGCCTCCTTCAGGATCACGTTTTCCCTTTTCTTAAAGGATAATGCACGTTTATACCTTAATAGTTCTATTGACCTTATCCTATAGAGTTCTATAATTCCAACAGCTTCCTTATTTTTGTCCCATCTCCTTCAGACCAAGTTAGCAGTTTCCTGTTGCTATCACCCCATCTTTCCCCCCCTGGCTTCTGCTCAGAGAACTGATTAGATTTGCAAGTCATTCACTTGTGATCTCTTTGGTAAGTTATCGTCCAGCCACTGTTATGGATAACCCGAGAATTTTCCAAACCCTCTAGTTCTGTTTCCTTTTTGCTTGACAATTCCTCCTTGATTTTTCCTACTACATAACCACAATGGCACCTAAATTATCTTTTTAAACATTATTTATTTATTCATTTTATGTTTTTGAAAGGCAGAGTGACAGAGAGAGAGAGAGAGATCTATCTGTTCATTTATTCCCAAATGTCAGGAACAGCTGGGACTGAGCTTGGCCAAAGCCAGGAGCTGGGAAATCAATCTGGGTCTCCCATTGTGGGTGTTAGGAGCCCAGTTTTTGGAGCCACTGTCCCCAGATTTGCATTGGCAGGAAGCTAGAGTCGGGAATTGGAACTAGGTCTTAAACCCAGGGACTTCAATGTGGGAAGGGGGTCTGCCAACTGACAGCTTAACTCCTAGGCCAAACACCTGTCTCTCACTTGAATTTAATAATAAGGGAACAAGTTAAATCGAGGGACCTGCATTGTGGTGCAGTAGATTGAGCTGCCTGCCACCTATAATGCTGGCATCCTGTATCAGAGTACCAGTGTGAGTCCTGGCTGCTCTGCCTCCAATCCAGCTCCCTCCTAATGCACCTGGGAAAGCAGTGGAAGATGGCTCAAGGACTTGGACTCCTGCCACCCATGTGGGAGATCCAGAAGGAATTTCAGGTTCTTGGCTTCAGTCTGGTCCAGCCCTGGTCATTGCAACCATTTGGGGAGTTAAACAGCAGATGTAAGTGCGATCACGGTCGATTATGCATGTGCTGTCTTTCTGTCACTGGGCCTTTCGAATAAATAAAATAAATCTTGGGGGGAAAAAAAGGTACCTAGATTGTATGTCATTTTATAAATCAGCTGACCCATACCTTTCTGAAATGTCAATGTCACATACACAAAAGGTAGAGATATGCTATAAATTAAAGGAGTAGGGGCCGGTCCTGTCGCGTAGTGGGTAAGCATCTCATGTGGGCGCTGGTTCTAGTCCCGGCTGCTCCTCTTCCGATCCAGCTCTCTGCTATGGCCTGGGAAAGCAGAGAAAGATGGCCCAAGTCCTCTGGCTCCTGGCTTTGGATTGGCACAGCTCCAGACATGGCGGCCAACTGGGGAATGAGTCAGACCTCTATCTGTCTCTCCTCTCTGTGTAACTCTTTCAAATAAAGAAATAAATCTTAAAAAAAAAAAGGAGTATAAGAGACATGACAACCAAGTAAATACATGAATCTTAACTAGGTTCCAGATTAAAAGAAAAATAGATCTAAGCATTTTGGGGGAATTGAGATAGTTTAATATGGATTATGTATTAAATAATATTTTATCCATATTAAATTTCCTGTGTGTGCTAATTGTGCAGTGGGTGTGTGGGTACCTTTTTTTTTTGTTGTTAAGATTTATTTATTTATTCAAAAGGCAGAGTTACAGGAGAGGGAGAGAGAGCTTTATCTGCTGGTTTATTTCCCACATGGCTACAATGACCATCTGCTGATTCATTTTCTAAATGACTGAGCCATGCTGAGGCCAGGAGCCTAAAAATCCCATCCAGGTCTTCCGCATGGGTGACAGGAGCCCAAGCACTGGGGCCATTTGCTGCTTTCTCAGGTGTATTAGCAGGGGGTTAGATGAAAGTGGAGCTGCTGGGGTGTGAAGTGGTGTTCATGTGGGATCCCTGCATTGCATGCAGTGGCTTAACCAACTGTGCCACAACATGGGTTCTTAGATACCTATGTTTTGTTTTGTTTTGTTTTGTTTTGTTTTTCCACAGAGAAACACTTGAAAATATTTGAGGTGAAGTGTCTGTAACTTATTTTCAATTGATTCTGCCCCCAAAACTTCACATAGGCTTGGGAAAATGAGAAAAATCAAGGGAAATCATAATAGTGAAAGTATAAATGTAGAATTTATTTGAAAATAGATGTATGGCCTGTGTGACTGTAGTGGCCATAATTAATATTAAATAGTCATGCCAATGTTTATAATATTTAGAGTGAGCTTAATGGAAAACTATTGTTCTTGTTACTCTTTTCAGTATAGACTACGGGCGAAGAAAAAAAAATGCTTTTAGGATTCAGGTGGAAAAAGGTGAGTCTTTAATTGCTGTAGTTGACTTTTCGGTAAAGTTATATATAAATGGACTGTTTTAGTTCATGGTATTTTTCTTTTCCTTTCAGCCTTTAACATAATTGGCAATGAGAAGGAATTTAAGAATCTGACAGAATTAGAAGATGAACATAGAGCAAAAAGAGCAAGACGGGATGAAGAGGATAAGGAGTAAGTATTGCAACATGGGGATTTCTCCCTACAGCTTGTACCTAGTCACTTTACATTCCTACTCATAACCCTCTCTGGGCTCTTGCTTGTCAGCAGGACCTGGCGTAGTACTTCCTGACCTTCTTACTTCTCCAGATCTTTCCTTCAGCCATATTCAATGCCTACTGTTTCCCAGAGGTAAAATTCTTTCTTCCATGAGTGGTTTTCTGTTGCTAGAGTGTTCATTTTCCTTTCATAAACTCCCACTCAGCTTTCAAGGGCCAGTTGAAATGCTAATTGCCTTTGTTAGGCCTTCTTAGACCCTTTTTTTTTTTTTTTCTTAGTTCCAGTTCCAAGTCTTAGACATTTTATTTAATCCTTTTTTTTTTTTTTTTTTTTTTTGACAGGCAGAGTGGACAGTGAGAGAGAGAGACAGAGAGAAAGGTCTTCCTTTGCCGTTGGTTCACCCTCCAATGGCCGCCGCTGCAGCCGGCGCACCGCGCTGATCCGATGGCAGGAGCCAGGAGCCAGGTGCTTTTCCTGGTCTCCCATGGGGTGCAGGGCCCAAGCACCTGGGCCATCCTCCACTGCACTCCCTGGCCATAGCAGAGAGCTGGCCTGGAAGAGGGGCAACTGGGACAGAATCCGGCGCCCCGACCGGGACTAGAACCCGGTGTGCCGGCGCCGCAAGGTGGAGGATTAGCCTATTGAGCCACGGCGCCGGCCTATTTAATCCTTAAGATATGGCATTGAAATTATTTGCTTGTTTGTATTACCAACAGAATTGTCTCATTATCTTTTTCTCTGCCCTAATATAACACCAGATATGTGAAAAGGTACAAATTAGTTTTGTTTTCTAAGGAATAGTACTGGGATGGGCCTAGCAGTGCTCTTAGTTAAGCTGCTGCTTGGGATGCCACATCCCATATCAAAGTGCCTTCTCCAGTCCTGGCCAGGTTGTTTCAATCCAGCTTCCTGGAAATGCTCTTCGGAGGTAGTAGCTCAGGTAGTTGGGCCCCTACCACCCATGTGGAGGACCTGATGGCATTCCTAGCCCCTGGATTAAGCCTAGCGCAGGCCTGGCTATTATGGTCATTTGGGGGAGTAAACAGTATATAATTTGTTCAGTTTTAACATATGTATCTCCTTATTCAACTCACCAAAGACAAGATGCTCAACATTTCCAATAACCCCAGAAGTTTTCCTGTACCCTTTGTAATGCATTTCTTTCCCCCACCGCATTTCCAAGCAGCCTCTGGTTTGTTTTCTGTTGCTGTTTGTTTGAGTTTTATATAAATGGAGTCATGTAGTATATACTTTTAAAATCTGGATGCATTATGGTTTTGAGATTTGTATGTACTAGTAGTCCAGTGCATTTTATTGGTGAGTCTGATGGCCAAGCCACAATATTTTAGCCATTTATGGCAGAGAGACAAAAAGTTTTGTTCTACTACAAATAAAGGTGCTGTGAACATTTGTGTCTGGGTTTTTGTTTTTGTTCTTGTTTTTTGAAAAGATTTATTTATTTATTTATTTGAAAATCAGAGCCAGAGAGAGAAAGGGGGAGATGCTGAGAGAGAAAGAGATCTTCCACCCGCTGGTTTGCTCCCCAAGTGGCAGCAGTGGACAAGGCTGGGCCAGGCTTAAGCCAGGAGTCAGGAGCTTCTTCCCAGTCTTTCATGTGGGTACAGGTGCCCAAGCACTTGGGCCATCCTTCACTGCTTTCCCAGGCACATTAGCAGGGAGCTGGATCAAAAGTAAAGCAGTGGAGATGCAAACCATATGGGATGCTGGCATCTCTGGCAGTGGCTTTACCTACCATGCCATAATGCTGAGTCTCCCAGGTTTTCGTTTATATAGTGTTTTCATTTCTGTTGGTAAATACTTAGAAATGAAATATACTTGGATCAAATGTTAGATGCATATTTAACTTTAGAAGAAATTGCCAAAAAAGTTAATTTGCCCACATTGCCTAAGTGTACTGTTTTTGCTTTCATGCTAGCAATTGTGAGAATCCCACTTGTTCCACTTTTTGCCATATTTTCTTTTTTTTTTTTTAAGATTTATTTGTTTATTTGAAAGTCAAATTACATAGAGAGAGAAGGAGAAGCAGAGAAGAGAGAGAGAGGTCTTCCATCCTCTGGTTTATTCCCCACTTGGGCGCAACAGCCGGAGCTGCGGTCATCTGAAGCCAGGAGCTTCTTCCGGGTCTCCCACATGGGTATAGGGGCCCAAGGGCTTGGACCATCTTCTACTTTCCCAGGCCACAGCAGAGAGCTGGTTTGGAAGTGGAGCAGGGACTTGAACCGGCGCCTATATGGGATACCAGCACTGCAGTCAACGGCTTTACCCACTATGCCACAGAACCAGCCTCCCCCATATTTTTTTTAAAAAAGATTTATTTATTTATTTGAAAGTCAGAGTTAACACAGAGAGAGCGGAGGCAGAGAGAGAGAGGTCTTCTATCCGATGGGTCACTCCCCAGATGGCCGCAGGGGCTGGAGCTGCGCTGATCCACAGCCAGGAGCCTCCTTCAGGTCTCCCACGCGGTTGCAGGGGCCCAATGACTTGGGCCATTTCTTCTGCTTTCCCAGGCTATAGCAGATGGGAAAAGGAGCATCAGGGACTAGAACCTGCGCCCATATGGGATGCCAGCGCTTCAGGCCAGGGCATTAACCCACTGTGCCACAGCGCTGGCCCTGCCGTATTTTCTTTTTTCTTTTCTTTTCTACTCATCCTTCTTCCTTCTTTCTTTCTTTTTTTTTTTTTTTTTTTTACAGGCAGAGTAGACAGTGAGAGAGAGAGAGAGAGAGAGAAAGGTCTTCCTTTTGCCGTTGGTTCACCCTCCAATGGCTGCCGCGGCCGGCATGCTGCAGCCAGCGCACCGTGCTGATCTGAAGGCAGGAGCCAGGTGCTTTTCCTGGTCTCCCATGGGGTGCAGGGCCCAAGCACTTGGGCCATTCTCCACTGCACTCCCGGGCCACAGCAGAGAGCTGGCCTGGAAGAGGGGCAACCGGGACAGAATCTGGCATCCCAACCGGGACTAGAACCCGGTGTGCCGGCGCCGCAAGGCGGAGGATTAGCCTATTGAGCCGCGGCGCCGGCTGCCCTATTTTCTTTAATTTTACACTCTCACTGTAACTAGGATGCTTGCTGCAGCCTGTTTTTTGTTTGTTTGTTTGTTTTTTAAAATTAATTCATTTGAAAGGCATAGTTATAGAGAGGCAGAGGCAGACAGAGAAAGAGAGGTCTTCTGTCTGCTGGTTTACTCCCCAAATGGCTGCAGTGGCCAGAGCTGGGCCTATCCAAAGCCAGGAGCCAGGAGCTTCTTCCCGGTCTCCCACATGGGTGCCGGGGCCCAAGGACTTGGGCGATCTTCTGCTGTTTTCCCAGTGCAGCGTGTTTTATAGATGCTCTGTGTCAGATTGAGGAATTTTCCTAATAGTCCTAGGTACTTGAGAGTTTTTATCGTAAACAATTATTACTTAAATGCTTTTCTGCATCTGTTGAAAATCTTTCTCTCACTTTTCCTCATTAATCTGTTAATTTGGTGAATTATAGTGATTTTCAGTGTTAAGGCAGTGTTGCATTCCTGTGATGCACCCTACTTGATCCTGATGTATTATCCTTTTTATTTATTGTTGGATTCAGTTTGTTATCATGGTACAGTGAAATAGGCTACTCCAAATATATTTCTTTGACACATTTACAGTTGCCTTTTTAGAGAAACTGCAGACCTCAGCAGACACAGGATTACTTGTAAAACCCTGTCCTTTTGTAAAGCAAATTTGTTAGTATTAAATTTAATTATAATTTTATAGATTTACATTTAATTAATTTAAATATTATAAATTTATATTGGTATTAATTTATAGTAACAATATTAGTAAGTAGTGAATGCAGTCACAGGCTTTTCTATCTCATACCCCCCTTTCTGCCTAGGAAAAACCTTTTTAAATGGAAAAAGATATGGGGGCTCTGATTCCAGAATGTGAGATATATATGTCCACAGGTGGCTGTTTCCTGGGGGGTGGGGGTGGGATGGGGGAGATATGCCCAGAGGTGACTGTGTTTCCTGGCAGGCTTGATGTGCATAACGAGACAACCCTTGCTCACTGTGAACTTCCTCCCCTCTGGCCTTCCATAGCCTTTGCCAGTTCACTGCCTCCCAGAATCCCATGCCCTTATCTTTCTGTTTAGCTCTAAGTCTGTAAGGTGCAGACACCTTCCACCTTTGAGTCTCATACTGAATGTGTGTGGATCCTATATGGAATTCATATTAGCTTGGAGTCTTCTTTTTATGAAGAATTTTGGTAAATTTTACTTTTGCTAGATCATGAAAAAGTAGAATTGAAATAAATTTATTATCGCAAAATATTTTTTTGAAATATATGCATAGTTTTTCATAAATATTTTCCATGAAGTTTTCAAGAGCTCTGCTATATGCCTTCTCTGTATATAATTTTCTTCTTATGTCAGTTTTGGTAAATTGTAATCTTAAGGAAATTTGTCCATTCATCTAAGGTGTGGGATTTGCCAGCATTACCCATTTACAATATTCTCTTGTTCTCTTCTTATCTCTGTAGGATCTGTGGTGATAGCTAGCTTCTTTATGTTCTTTATATCTGAATGTTTTTCATTAGAATTTACCATTTTTAATTTCTTAACTGGTTGCCTAGTCATGGAAATCTGATTATTTCTAGTTTTCAGTATTGCATAATAAATAACCTTTTAGTTTACATAGTTTTGTACACATCTCATGTTTTATGTTAAATTCCTGATATAGAATTGGAGGTCAAAGAGAATCATTTTTTATTTATTTATTTTTTTTAAGATCCTTCTCTCTATGTGTAACTTTACCTTTCAAATAAATAAATAAACAAATCTTTTTTTTAGCACAAGCAGAGGGCCGGCGCCGCGGCTCACTAGGCTAATCCTCCGCCTTGCGGCGCCGGCACACCAGGTTCTAGTCCCAGTCGGGGCGCCGGATTCTGTCCCGGTTGCCCCTCTTCCAGGCCAGCTCTCTGCTGTGGCCCGGGAGTGCAGTGGAGGATGGCCCAAGTGCTTGGGCCCTGCACCCCATGGGAGACCAGGATAAGTACCTGGCTCTTGCCATCGGATCAGCGCGGTGCGCCGGCCACAGCGCGCCGGCCACGGTGGCCATTGGAGGGTGAACCAACGGCAAAGGAAGACCTTTCTCTCCCTCCCTCTCTCTCTCTCTCTCTCTCTCTCACTGTCCACTCTGCCTGTCAAAAAAAAAAAAAAAAAAAAGACAAGCAGAGGTAGAGAAAGGGGTCTTCCATCCATTGGTTCATTCCCCAAATGGCTGCAAGGGCTGGAGCTGGGCTTATCTGAAGCCAGGAGCTTCTTCTGGGCCTCCCACATGAGTACAGGGGCCCAAGGACTTGGGCCATCCTCCACTGCTTTCTCAGGCCATAGCAGAGAGCTGGATCTGAAGTGGAGCATCCCATATGGGATGCTGGTGCTGCAGGCCACAGCTTTACCCGCTATGCCACAGTATTGGCCCCAAAAGTTCTTTTTTTATTTAAATATTTTCTAACAAGTCATACTAGCAGAGTCTCCTGGTTACTAAGATTTCTTAGACACTCCCTTTCGTTTATAATGAGCTTGGGCCACATTCTCAGCTTGTAGTTAATGGAATTTATGCTCTTTTGGACATGTTATCAGAAAATTTCTTTGCTCCTTCATTCCTCTTCAATAGGCTTGGAGAAGTTACATTTGATAACATGACTTGGTCACGTTGAGTTTCTAAATTTGTTCCTTTTTATTTGACAGGCAGAGTTAGACAGTGAGAGAGAAAGGTCTTCCTTCCGTTGGTTCACCCCCCAAGTGGCTGCTACGGCCAGCGCTGCAGCAATCCGAAGCCAGGAGCCAGGTGCTTCTCCTGGTCACCCATGCGGGTGCAGGGCCCAAGGACCTGAGCTATCCTCCACTGCCTTCCCGGGCCACAGCAGAGAGATAGGCTGGAAGAGGAGCAACTAGGACAGAATCCGGTGTCCCAACCGGGACTAGAACCCAGAGTACCAGCGCCACAGGCAGAAGATTAGCCTAGTGAGCCGCGGCGTGGGCCATAAATTTGTTCCTTAAAGTGCTTAATTATAGCTAGCTGAAATATTTCCTCTACCTGAGTCTGGGTGTGATGGAAATTTGTATTTTACTATTATGTATTACTAGGACAAAGGTAGGCATAATTTATTAAGCTTTTACTATGTTGTAGGAGTTTTGTAAATATTCATTTAATCCTTTAGTAACTCTTTAAGATAGACATTATTTATTATGTCCATTTTATAGAAAAGAAAGCTGACACCCAGAGATATAAAATATGAGGTTTTCAGAACATTCATGAAAAGTGGTTATTGTGAAAAAGTTGTGCATAGATTTTTAAAAAACATTTTTTGCACCAGAGTAAACTTTATCTTTATTTCCATTTTTCCATGGACTTTTTGAAGTTCCCTCATGGACACCGATAACTGGTTAAGCTGGTTTTGAAGTCTCATTTCTCTGATTTTGAACTTGGAATCTTTACTCCCATAATATTTTACCTTGGTATATTTACTTGTTTGGAGTAATTTTTTTAGGATGTGAGAGTAAAACCTTTCAAACATTTTTCCCTCTTTTTGCTGAGGTATACTGAAAGCTATTCAGATGATGATTCAGATATGGAAGATTACACAGATTTACAGGTAAGCAGCATTTAATGGGCCAGCCTCTATTTATTTATTTTTAATCATTATGATCCCTCTTTAGAAAAAAAGTCAATAAGGAATAGAATGAGAAATGCTGGGCATCTTACAAATGAGGACTTGTTGTGTACAGTGTTGATGTTGGATTAGTTATCCTTTTAGTATTTGTGTTGGTGTCAGTTATACAAGAAAAATGGGAAGAAGAAAAAACCAGAAAGTAGGGCAGACAGGAGTGGTAAGGGGAATTAATAGTAAAAATATAGACAAGGATATATGAGAGAGGTTTCCCAAAAGCTGATGAAAAATATGTGTCATGAAAGAACTGTGCAGTGATTTAAAAAGCTTATTCATTTGAAAGACAGAATGAGCAAGATCTTCCTTCTGTCTGCTGGTTCCCCCCCAGAGATCCTCAACAGGAGCCAGGAGCCAGAAACTCAGTCCTGATTGTTCGTGTCAGTGGAAGGAACTTGAACCATCATCTTTGTTTCCCGGTGTATTTCAGGGAGCTCGATCTGAAGTGGAGTAGTGGGAACTTGAATTGGCACTCCAATATCAATACCAATAAGGGATGCCGACATCCCAAGAAGTGGCTTAACTCACTGTTTCACAATACCTACCCCCAGTTTTTTTGTGCAAAAATAAGCTTTTCTTTTAATTCCGTTCTCCACAAACTTTTTGAGGTATCTCTGTATTTCTACCAAGATGCTGGCATTCCTGAGGCATAATTAGAAGGGAGTATGGGGTCATATGCTGTATTATTTAGTGTGCTCTATTTTTTCCCTTGATAAATCAGTTTTGCTTTTATTGATATGTTGACAATGATACTATTATCTTTTTTTTAAAACATTTATTTATTTATTTGAAATTCAGGTTACACAGATAGAGAAGGAGAGGCAGAGAGAGAGAGAGGTCTTCCATCCAATGGTTCACTCCCCAGTTGGCCGCAACTGCTGGAGCTGCACTGATCTGGAGCCAGGAGCCAGGAGCAAAGAGCTTCTTCCAGGTCTCCATGTGGAGCAGCTGTGGCTCAAACTGGCAACCATATGGGATGCTGGCACTGCAGGTGGCGACTTTACCTGTTACACCACAGTGCCAGCCCAATACTGTTACCTTTTTTTTTTTTTTAAGATTTTATTTGTTTATTTGAGAGGTAGAGTTATAGACAGTGAGAGGGAGAGAGAGAGAGAAAGGTCTTCCCTCCGTTAGTTCACTCCCCATATGGCCGCAAAGGCTGGAGCTACGCGATCCAAAGCCAGGAGCCAGGTGCTTCTTCTGGGTCTCCCACATGGGTGCAGGGGCCCGAGGACTTGGGCCATCTTCTACTACTTTCCCAGGCCACAGCAGAGAGCTGGTTTGGAAGTGGAGCAGGACTTGAACTGGTGCCTATAAGGGATGCCAGCACTGTAGGCAGCGGCTTTACCCACTATGCCACAGCGCCGGCCCTGTCATATTTTCTTTAATTTTACACTCTCACTGTAATTAAGATGCTTGCTGCAGCCTGTTTTTTTTTTTTTTTTTTTAAGATTTATTTTATTTATTTGAAAGAGTTACAAAGAGAGGTAGAGACAGAGAGAGGTCTTCCATCCGCTGGTTCACTCCCCAATTGGCCACAATGTCCGGAGCTTTGCCGATCCGAAGCCAGGAGCCAGGAGCTTCCTCCGGGTCTCCCACGTGGTGCAGGGGCCCAAGGACTTGGGCCATCTTCTGCTTTCCCAGGCCATAGCAGAGAGCTGAATTGGAAGAGGAGCAGCTGGGACTCGAACCAATGGGATGCCGGTGCTTCAGGCCAGGGCGTTAACCTGCTGAGCCACAGTGCCGGCCCCCTATTTTTTTTTTTTAATTAATTTATTTGAAAGGCATAGTTACAGAGACGCAGAGGCAGAGAGAGAGAAAGAGAGGTCTTCTGTCTGTTGGTTTACTCTCCAAATGGCCATAGTGGCCGAAGCTGGGCCGATCCAAAGCCAGGAGCCAGGTGCTTCTTCCTGGTCTCCCACGTGGTTGCAAGGGCCCAAGCACTGGCCATCTTCTACCGCTTACCCAGGCCACAGCAGAGAGCTGGATTGGAAGAGGAGCAGCCGGGACTAGAACCGTCACCCATATGGGATACTGGTGGAGAATGAACCAACTGCACTATGGTGCCGGCCCCCTTTGAATTATGGAGTAATAGTGACTCACTACCAGATTTTTTTTTTAAGATTTACTTATTTATTTCAAAGGCAGACTTATAGAGGGGCAGATGCAGAGAGAGAGAGAGAGAGAGAGAGAGAGAGAGAGTCTTCCATCTGCTGGTTCACTCACTAGATGGCAATACTGCCAGAGCTGGGCTGATCAGAAGCCAGGAGCTTTCTCCATGTCTCCATGTGGGTGCAGGAGCCAAACACTTGGGCCATCTTTTGCTGCATTCTCAGGCCAATAGCAGAGAGCTGGATTGGAAGTGGAGCAGCTGGGACTGGAACCAGTGTACATATGAGATGCTGGCAATGCAGGTAGCGGCTTTACTGCTACACCACGGCGCCAACCCCTACCAGATCATTTTTAAGCTTTCTTCTGTTATATTTTTAAAAAGTGACTATGCTCATTTGATTTTATTTAATCACCAACTATGAATTGGCCCGCTCTTTAACTTGGAGTCATTGTAACGAGTACCATCTTTTTGAATACTTGGATGTGGATCATCTTATTGTGGGCATCTTTTCTGATTGTTTCTTTTTGAATAAGAGAAATTGTTGGAAGCAAAATGTAGGCAACATAATGGTATAGGTGTTGCAGCTCTCATGACTGCCTATTGAATCGTGTTCCAATCATGTTTCTGCCAGTCAGCAAATCACATGAACAGTTCCCTGCTCTCTTTGTATCGGAAAGGAAATCCTGATTCTGTTTCAAATGTTCTCGAGACGGAGCAAAGAGAAACCACTGCTTCAGCACCACGGATAACTTCCAAAACAGGCTCCATTCCTTTGAAGACCCCTGCCAGAGAGTCTGAGGGAGGATTGTTTATTGAAAAAACCCACGGTGGAAAGAAAGACCATTTTTTCTTGGACCTTTCAAATAAGAAAAGTAATCATAAGAAGCCATTATCTGAGATACAGGTATTTTTGTAGTGTAATTTTAGTAACCCTGTGTAGTTGGAGTACATTACAACCTTTTCATTAACTATCATATGAAACAGATACTTTGGAAAAGACAGTGGATCTTTGAAATGCAGTCACTCCCACCATCATTTTCATCCTAGTCTAAAAGCCTCTACACTTTCATTTCATTCTGTTGAAATAGCCTTCCTGTTGGAGTCTTTGTCCACTCCTTCCTCTAGTTTTCTCTTCACAGAGACCTCTTTTACAGGTTAAGTCAGGTCACTCTGTCTTTTTAAAACCCTCAGTGGCTTCATTCAGTTTCAGATCTGAAGATCTTGCAGTGGCCATTAAAGCCCTTTGTGATTGGATGTCCTATTGCCTCTTACATCCTACCTCCTACAGACCCCACCCCCACACCTCTTTGCTTCAGCCACAGTGGCCTCTTAATGTTTCTGATGCACAGCCAGCACTCTTTCCTTTGGGGCATTAGCACTTGGACTTTCAGTCTGGAATGCTTCTCCAGATTCCAGTGGCTTACTCTAAAACTTCCTCACATCTCTTTCCCTTTGTAATCTTTGCAGAGATTTCCTGACTTGGAAAATAGCACATTATTAGATAGTCTCTGTTTTCTTACCATTATTTTTTCAAGCACTTAGTGTGTAATTGTTTACTTGGGCTTTTTTTTTTTTTTTCAATTTGTCTCCCTCTGCTAAAACGTACGTTGTACATGAGCAAGGATTGTGCTTTTTATAAAAATATATTTTTGGTTAAAATATGTCTGATGCATAGTGGTCATCTGTTACTTTAACAAGCAATGCCTGATGAACTTCCTGAGGTACACTTACTAGAGAAGAAACAATTGGGGATATATTATAGAGAGCTGATCATTTTTAGGAAGAAATGAGAATTGCTGTTCCAACAGCAACGTGGGTTATTTTCAATTCAAGATAACACCTTGAGTGGTCCTACATACATGGATATGCTATGGAAATATCTATTGGGTTAAATAGTATAAACTATTAAATGAATTTCACGTGTTTCTTTTTTTTCCTTTCTTTTTAAGTTTGATGACTAGAATATATAAAATTATCTAACATGAAATTACTTAGGTTGTATTTCTCCTGGACACTGCTGCCCTAATTAATTTCCGAGAACTAAACCCTCAGGTCTGGCAGAGCCTTTCCCCTTTCAAAATCAATGGGCCTTTCCACAAATGTTTGCTTGAGTCACCCATCTATGGAGAACATTTGTTACGATTGGCTAGAACTTGGCTGTTACGCTGATTTAATCTTATCTTTCAGCTCATGAATTATGACATATCAGATAAATACCACCTCTATGAAATATCAACTGTTTGGATTTAATGAGAAATAAATGATGAGTGTTAATAACCTAGATTGATGGGCTAACAATTGGAGAGCACCAACCAGACAAAAAATCATTCATATACAAGGGAGGTTATGGTGGGCTATCCTGCTATTGCAAACGCAGTATTCCGGGAATGTGAGGAAGAGATTAAATGTAACTGGAGATTTGGAAAAAGGAAGGTTCAAATGTTGGGAATCAAACCGAACTTCAAGGCTGTGGGGAAGAGGGCATCTCCTGCAGATAGCATTCTTGAGCAAAGAGGCTGGGAATAGATAACAAAAGTGAAAGTGTTCAGGCAGGAATGGATTTAAATTTTATAATGCCTATTTAAAAAATGTGTTGGCATTATAATTTTAAGCTTAGCATATTTAAATTTATTTTCTTTTCAGGATTCAAAAGACTCTTCTCTTCTGGAGAGAGATAAAAAAAGGAAAGGCAGGCTAAAGAGCAAAGGAAGCAAAAAGAAGAAAAAATATCTTCAGGAAGTAGACAGAAAAATAGAAGCTGTCCTCCAAAAGAAAGGTGACATGCAGAGTGTTGGGTTGGCAGAGGCCTTGTTTGTTTTGGGTGGATCACTCTTTTGCAAGCTGTTTTGCTAGAAGAACTTTATTTGTACAGAAGTGTTTATTGGGAATTTTTTCTGTATCTAATGGATTTGTGCTTACTTAAGGATCATTAAATATAATTATGAGCTTTTATTGAATCATCCATTTCTTTTACCTCCTTTTTTGTTCACCAGCCAAATCTAGGAAGCTGGAATTGCAGAACTCTACTGTGAAGTTTGAAGATGTTGGAGGCAATGATGCAACATTAAAAGTTTGTCCAGATTCAGAATTTTACCTCTAATATGTATATTGCTACTCAGCTATGCAAACAAAGCCTGCCTCTTCCTTCCTTCCTTCCTTCCTTCCTTCCTTCCTTCCTTCCCTCCCTCCCTCCCTCCCTCCATACATAAAGACAGAGATACATAGTTCCTTCCTTCCATCCACACTTACTCAATTACATACATGAGAGAGAGTGAGAGAGAGAGACAGCGAGACTCGATCCATCAATATCAAAAAATAAAAT